GATGTTCTTCCAAATGCTCCCCTTGTATTCTGTGAAAGGAGTAAGGTAGTTAGAATTGACATGCTTGTAAATAAATCAACTTGTAAATAACATGACCAGGAAGAATTACCTTGGTTTTCTGTTCTTTTTTACAACTTCTTACATTGTGTCCATATGCATTACAACTGCTACACTTCATACCAATATTTTTCTTGGACAACTTTTAATGACTGACATATTCATCAACTTCTCTTCTTCTTAACTTTTTTGGCCTCCCAAGAGGTGTTTTATAAGTGGGTGGTAGTAGTGGAGCAGAGTCAGATGTAGACCAAAGTTGTTGTCCATTTATTGGAATTATTTGAGGTGCATAACAAGTTTGATAAGCATGTTTCTTGTAATACTGATGAACATAATCTTCTGGGTTTTCTAATTTGTAATGTATGGAAGCAACAACATGTCTACAAGGTATTCCTACCAAATCCCAAAAGTAAGAAGTATAACTATGATTACTTAGATCAACTACTAACCTGTCCATTGTAAAGCCATGAGTGACTTCAAATTTTTCACCCCCTGCCCAAACTAGAAGCCAAATCTCACTCTTTTCAACTTTCTTATCCTGCCTTTTTCTTGGTTTAGGCATAACTGTGTTTACTTTTTCTCTAAGTGTTGCAAACCTACTCATAATGTATGACCTAATCCATTCCATCATAGTAATTATAGGTTTATCTCTTGCCAGTAAAAGTGTACCATTAAATGACTCAGACAAATTATTGATCAACACATCACATCTAGGATAAGTACTAAATGCATGTTTACACCAAGATTTAGTTGGAATTGTCATTAACCAATTATAAGCATCAATATTCACATTCTTCAACTCACCCATTTTTTTCCTACTCATGAAAGTATGTTGCCTTGGCATCCCCTATCATAAGGTCTCTAATGAGCAGGCCTCCACCAATTTTCTTCTTATAGTTGTTGTACAAATGCCTTAAACACAGTCTATGCTCCACCCCATTCAAAATCTCATCAAATACTGTCATAAATCCCTACAAACAAATGACATCATCTTTTAATACATAATCAAATGAAATTACAAAATAAAGTTTAATTTGAAGCTACCTTTTGCTGATTCGAAATAAAGATCCAATGTTGACAATCTATGCCACCAATATCACCCAACAACAATGTCAAAAGCCACCTTCATGTGTCTTTGCATTCATTTTCAACCACATCAAAAGCTAGTGGAAAATATTGGTCATTATGGTCTCTTGCCACTACCATTAACAACTGACCTCCATATGTTGTCTTCAAATGACATCCATCTACCCTAATGAATGGCCTACAACTACCGAAAAACCCCTCTTTACAACCCTTTAAACACCTGTAAAATGACCCAAACCTTGGTGGCAAAGTGGGTTGGGGTTGATTGACCTTAATCTTGAAGGTTTCAGCCTTCACTCTTAACTATTAGGCCACATAATCATAAAGATGACCATATTGTCTTTCTCCATCACCCACTAAAGAATCCATTACAATTTGTTTTACTCTTCCAAATTTCAAGGGAGTTATTCCAACACTAAATGACTTTTTGATTTCATCTTTGGTTCACTGTCATGCCTCCCACATTTACAAATTTGTCTACCAATACTTGTGCAATTCATTGTACACTTGCACTTTTGTTACCAAAAACCATTCCACACTTGTGACGCCCAACCAGAGTTTTCACTCTTAAAGTTTGGCTACCTCCTACCTTGCTGGCCATAATTACAAAACGACATTCCTTTTTACAAACTACCCTCATTCTCTTCAAATCATTCTTAACAAACTTCACTTCTTTTCCATTTAAAATGCTATGCTCTTGTAGTGCACTTTTAAAATCTTTCAATGACTTAAACTCCATCTCCAATTTAAATTTGTAGCTCTTGGTCATATCATCTGCTCTATACTTTGGAAACTTCCTCCTATTCTCACTCACAACCTCATCACTATCTACATTTGAAGGCAACTCATCTGTATTGTAATCTTCATTTATCACATGCTCTCCAACTTCTTCGTTAACCATAAATGACCCCTCACAACCATTGTTTCTTCTCTTGATAGTTTTCCTCACAATTTTCTTTTTCTTTTTCATTCTACTCCACCTCTCCAAAACATGATTAATATTTCTTCTTTCTTCCTTTACCCTCTCATTCTCCATCCCAAACCCATCATCATCATCATCATCATCATCATCATCATCATCATTTATTATTCTTTCCTCTTCACTGTCATCCACATTTTCCACCACTTCGCCCTCAACCACGTTGCCCTCTTCCTCTTCCCCATCCTCATCAACATAAGGTTGTTCCTCACCCCTCTCTACATCTTCGCCCCCAACATTCCCCTCTCCCTCTTGGTAATCCATTAGGACATCTTATACTTTCCACATTCCCCTCCACCCCACCAACATAAGCATCTTCTTCATCCACTGCGTGATCTTCTTCATCCAGATAACCATCTTCTTCACCAACATAACCATCTTCTTCATCCACATTAGCATCTTCTTCAACAACATAAGCATGTTGTTCATCCAAAATAATCTCTTCTTCGTCACCCATATTTACCTATTCCTCTATCTCCTGTATGTCTACTTGATCTGCCTCTTTAGGAGAACTAAGAAACTTAACTTCAACTGGCTCACTAGGTTGGACATGTTGGACATAGATTTCAACCTCATCGTTATTTGCCTCTGCATATTTAGAAAACAACATTGCTTCCCTGTCATCACTGAGTATTCTTAGGTTGTTCATCGCCTTTTGTTTCGACTCCTTCCACCATAGCTTGAACTCTGCATCATACTTGAATTCTCTAACAAATCCCACTGCATCAAAGTAAGACCACTTGTTGGGATCAATTCCTTTTATAACATGTATTTCTCCTCCCACATATTCTACTCCCTTATTATTCATGAACTTCCCCATGTGATGCAGAGAAACGTCAAAAACCATTGCTAATCCTACATCGTAAAATTAAAAATTTACACACACAATGCGCAACAAGCAATGGAGCCATAGTAAACCAAAACCAAAAGTTAAAAATTACGTTCTTCGAATCGCCTTTCTTTGACACAAAATGCACAACAAACATTGGAGCCACAATAATCGCGAAAGCAAATTGATGGAACATGAACCCTAATCGCGATTTAGCTTCAAGTTAAAAGACAGTTACCAAATCCAATTTTCATTTGCGTAAAAAAATCCCAATATTTACTAAGTATAAGAACCCTACTTTCCTTCATATGATTTAATCACTGAACACATGTCATCAAACATGTAATCACACGTGGCAAATGTTAGAAAGGAAAGATGTCATCACACGTGGCCAGACGTTAGCCACCTCAGCTGATTTTTAACGCCATTAGTTTTGGAGGACGAAAAATTATAGTTTCCTTAAGGAGAAGGATCAAAGTGTACCAAAGTTTGAAAAAGGGACGAAAACTAAAATCGCTTGATAGTTGAGGGATTAAAAACATATTTAACCCTTAAAAAATGGATTGAAATATATGGAACAAATCCCTAAAAGGGAACATGTAAAACTTGTATATGATGTTTAGAGGGTGTATGTAGTGTGAAATTCATTCAGTATATTTGCTATAGTTGTTGTCATTCAAGAACTAACTACAGTGATGTAAATCTGATGCAACTACTATAGAAAACCTCTGTTTCTTGAGAAAGAACAGCAAGAAAGCATACTTTACTTTCTCTTTTATTCTCGAATCTAGGTATTTCTATCCGTTAAATGCATCTGTTACTATAGAGTTGGAGTGTTGGAATATTGAGGGTTGCAATGTTGCCTCTATTGTTTTGGTATTAATATCAACATTAACCAATTTTAGTTTCTAAAACCCACTCAAAAGTCGTCAAACCTCCAACCAACAATATTCATAATAAATGAATCATCACTTTCGGAAAACTAGTCGAAAAAATGTTTCTTTTTTCGTTTCTAATGACTAAAATATCTTCTTTTTTACTTTGTCTCTGTTTTCAAAAGTATGTATGATAAAAAGAAACCCCTTTTCATGCACAGAATGCAATCACCACCATTTCAGAAAAGAGCTCAAAAACCCAAACTTAAGCCAACCCCATTTCAAGAAAGAGAAACCAAAGGAAACCCAACAAATCGAAATCCGAAACGAACCTAGATGCCAAGATCGTAAATAGTGTACTATAGAATTCTAGTTGATGGATTCATCATCCGACAAACAACATAGATGCCAAAAATGGATGTCATGAGTAATTAAAATTTTCACTCTCGAAACTTGGGTATAAATGGACACTAGAAATGGTTGTTAGATGCATTTGCAAACTGTTATGGAGTTTCTAATTCATATGCCAAGTTGAGGTATTTCCATTTCATTTGGGTACCCTAAAAATGTGGAATAAAATGGTTTTTTATATTCTTTACTCTGCTGTATAATTTTTCTTGACTGTGCCATCACGAGGAGAGGGGTCAGAGAGGGAGTGGAAGATGATGAAGGTGTTGGTGAAGAAGGCAAAGTAGAAGATGTCAAACCTTCCGTGTAAAAAAAAGTAGAGAGAGCTGACTAAGTCTCAGAAAAAGAAAAAAATGATGTGACACACCTTTAGTCAGCTCAGCTTAATTTTAACGGCGTTGGTTTTGGAGGACGAGAAATTATAATTTTCTTAAAGACAAGGATCAAAGTGTACTAAAGTTTGAAAGACAGACTAAATCTAAAATTACATAATAGTTGAGGGACTAAAAATATATTTAATCCAAGAATTAAATGTATTTCACATTTTATAATAGTAAAAATTTATTATAATTTCTAATAAATATATTTTTATTTTGTAAAATCTAAAACATCTTCAATGATATATTTTTATAGTATAATGTAAAATATATTTTTAAATATCATTATACAATTCAAAATACATATATATTGTACAAGGTTACAACATGTTCAAATTAAAATAAAGTAATAAATGTTTTGTTTTATTAAAATCCCAAAAAAAGTCCCTTGAGTACATAAACCAGTAAGAGGAGGAGAATAACAGAAACTAGTTAGAGGAGGAGAATAGCACGGAAGAAAAGAAAGAGTACCATTGACAATGGCGTCGGTGGCAGAATCACCGGAATCTGAGACACACCCAGCATCCGACGACTACCCCAAAATCAACAATCCTCAAATCTTTAATCAAACGACGCCGTTTATTGATTACGCTGCTGCGCAAGCCCAGCTTTACCACCGGGTCTTCAACGACAGGGTTGATTCAACAATTGATGCTGCAAAATCCCGTTTCGCCCAAATCCGCTCTACCTCTTACGCTCATTTTAACCAGACCTTGGTAAAATCTCTTTCTCTCTCTCTCCCGCGGAAAAATTCACAAGGAAAATGACCTATGTATAAATTTGATTCGCCAATGTATAATTGGATGACATAACTCATTCCTTTGGTTTGGTTATTCTCTCAAAATTTTTCGTCATCTCATTTGCATGATTTTGATATCTGTTTAGGATTCTTTGGATGACCTCAAGTCTCAGTACAATGCTTATGAAGATCTTTTGTTTGGAAAGATCAAAGGTTTGCATTTTTGTGGTTTTGTTTTTCTGGCGTTAGGTTTCTTCTGTTTTCTACTTATGAACTTTCTCATGTTTAGGGTTTTGTGGTTGATGTTTCATTGCAGAGGGTGTACTTATTGCCGCTTCGCATCCGTTGATTACATGTGGAGCTGCTGCTGCCCTGGGTCTTGTGGTACTTAAGAGTGAGATCCTGTGCCTTTTACTAGTGAACTATGAATTTAGTTCTTGCTTAGGGTATCTGTAAATTTCTTCTTTAACTGTTTTTATTAATTCCCCAAATTGTACTGTCCCAATTTGTCCTGTAACTCTTTAATCTTCGTAATGTATAAATTGGGTGACGATTTTGTATTTGAGGGAGTAATTTGGTGCAAAAAATCATTGGAGGAATAATATCTGTCATTAGTTTAGCTACAACAATGTTTGGACGTGGTAATTCCATAGTTTGAGCGTATACTCTTGATTTTAAAGCTGATGGTATCATTTCTGACTATACGTTATGTTAACAGAAACAATGTTATTGACCTTTTTCTATTTGTTCCTTATGTTATTATATTAGCAAATTATTTATTTTTCTTCAAATTTGGCTATCCTGTAGGGCCTCGGCAGGTCTTGTACTATAACACTTTGCGCCTTTTGGTCAATGAAGAGGTGAGTAATGACCTCATTATATCTCTTGACTTTTCAGGGAGAAAGATGCCGGATTTTAGTTTAATTAATCACGACTTGTATGTTTATCAAAGATGGTGGAACACATTCGATTACTATGCTGTTATAAGTACCATCTCTTGAATGCTAGTGAATATAAATTTCAAATTTGTTGTGTAACTTGTGTTGGACTTAAATGGAGGCGGGGAAAAAAGTCAGTCAATCCTTGAAGCAAGAATGTAAAAAGGGTAGAAGGAACAAGCTTTATTAATGAACATGCTTTATTTGTACTTTTCCTTTGTTACTTTTTACTTTTTATTAATGGTTTAATTACTATTTTGATCCCTATATTTTTGTATTTTGATTTGTTTTGGTCCCAATATTTTTTTTGGTTCAATCAAGTTCCATTATGTATTAAATTAATTCAATGCGGCCTTTTCATTAATTAGTATTAACGTTGTTTGGAAGGTGCACGTGTCAGTTGAATAAAAGACTTAATTAGTAAATTGATCCTTATAGTTTTCTTTTAAATTAGTTGAGTCCCTATATTTTTTACATGGAAATAATATGGTCCCTTTTTCATCAGCATTGTTCCCCACGGATTTTGGAAACAAATCCAAAAGTCACAACTGGTTCATGTGTCCTTTTTTGTATTGGAATAAAGGAGTTGATCTTGTATCTAAAAGAGGTGATTTTGGTGGGATGGTGTTGCCGGAGAAGAAGGGTTTATAGTGCGAGAAGAGGGTTTGGACTCACCTGGTCATAATGTTGATTTCATGAAAGGGATCACATTGTCTCTGTTTAGGTAATATAGGACTTGGGATTAAAGTACAAAAGATTTAGAGTGAATATGAGAGAGTGTGTTTAAAACCCCTCTCAAGGGTTTCATATTTGTAATATCTTGAGATACGTCAGATACAAGAACATAAGAGAATTCCTAAAAGACTAGGTTTAGCACAAAGCCGCACCTAAGAATAAATCTTATTAAAGATCATTTATTCTAACAATAGGGACTCAATTGACTCCAAAAAAGAATATATGGACTATAGGAACCAAATTAATAACTAAACCTTTTATTAGACTGGCACATGGTCACCTTCCAAACAACATTAATGTCAATTTAGTGGAAGGAATCACTTTGAATCGATTTAACACATAATGAGACTTGATTGAATAAAAAAAAATGTTTGGACCAAAACAAATCAAAGACCAAAATATAGGAACCAAAATAGTAATTAAACCTTTTATTAATTGTAGTCCATATGCAAAAATAGTAGAGCTTAGAACTTTTACTCACTAATGTACAAACTGGCATAATATTATGATAAACATCCAAGCATTTGGACTGGGGAACTCACACTCCAAAGCTAGCTTTTAAGTGGGGGAATCAAGCAGTTAAATACTTCACCAAACATGCCATACTACTTGATATGGTACTTAGGCACCCGATAATACCAAGTCTAGGAGGTTTTCACACTACAACAGTTTACTCGTTGACATTTTACTCAACTTCTTTGTTGGTCATAATACTTCAGTGATCAGAGTCCTCCATAGGCAGTCCTTTCTGATATACTAACAACCAACTCCCATACTAATTGATGCATCCTAGCACTTTGGGAAACCCACCTTTCAAATTTGGTACTTAGGCACCTTGTAATATCCTTGTTCCTATTCATTAGTTAGAACCTTTCACTAGTAAGGACCCTGTATAGGTATTCCTACTTGAGAATTAAACTGTAAAATAATTCTAGAGGGCTTGATTGATCCCTCTCATAATCTTCTATTTATAAAAATAAATTGATA